GAAAGATGTCGCTGTCTTTCCTCCTCTGCCCCAGAGCTGAGACTCCTGCATCCCCCTCCCCCTTCCCAGTGCTGGGGATAAAGCCCAGGCTTTGTGGGCTCCTCCCCTCCCCCACATCCATTCTGCAAGCTGCTGGTCCACCCTCTAAGCACAGGTCGTCATCCCTACGCTGACAGGTCCTCTGCCTCTGCCTCCCCACTGCCTGAGACCAGACTGAGACCCTGACCTGACCTCATGGCTGGCAAGGGCTCCCAGTCTCTAGAAGCAGGTTATCAGATCTTCATCCCAGGTGCACACCCACTAGCCATCTCCACAGTGCCACAGGACAGGTCACCCCTGTTCTGTCTCTGGCTCCTGCAAGACCCAGAGGAGTCCAACTCCTCTGCAAGGTCTTTCTCCACAGCTGGTCCCAATTGTGAACTCCTGCGGTCCACAGTGTTTACATTGTCCACTAGGCTTTTCACTGTTTTAAAGATCCTTGTGTGTACGCACAACTGAGTTTTAACCCCTGGGATTCTAGGACTTATTTTAGGACAGTGCTGCCCAACAGAAACATAATGTGAGCCATGGATGCAAGTCTCACATGTAATTGCATTTTTAGGTAGCCACATTTAAACATAGGTAAAATTAGGTCTGTGGCTGTAGCTCAGTGGTAGAGCACCTGCCTAGCATGTTCGAGGCACTGGGTTCGATTCTCAGCATCACATAAAAATGAATAAAATAAAGGTCCATTGACAACTAAAAAATGTTTTTTAAAAATAAAAATAGGTAAAATTAAAATATATTATTGCCAGACTCTGTAGTACCTGCCTGTAAGTCCCATGATTTGGGAAGTTGAGGCAAGAGGATTGCAAGTTTGAGGCCAGTTTCAGCAACTTAGCAAGGCCTGTCTCAAAAAAAAAAAAAATAGGGCTGGGGTTGTGGCTCAATGGTAGTGTACTTGCCTGGCATGTATGAGGCACTAGGTTCGATTCTCAGCACCACATATAAATAAATAAAATAAAGGTCTATCAACAACTTAAAAGAAAAATCTTAAAAATAAATAAATAAAAATAAAAAGGACTGAAATTGTAGCTCACTAATAGAGAGGCCCTGGGTTCAATCCCCATCAATGCAAAACAAAACACACACACACACACACACATACACACCCATATGTCTATGTTTTATTTAAATTAGCATCTCCAACACATTGTTTGAACAACATGAACAGATATCAATGAGATGTCTTGCATTTTCGATTCCGTAGCAAGCTTTCTGCATCGACTGTTTGGCACTTCTTCCTGGGGACCAGGCTACAGTTGGAGGCCCAGTCACCCTCCGTGGCCAGTGGCTGTCCTGTGCACAGCTGAGTGTCAGCATTGGGTGACTGTGTGATGCACATGAAGAATGCTGCCACCGAGCAGGGTCTGGCACAAGCTTCCGCCCTCCTCTCTGTCCTTCCTGCTTATTGTGCTCTTGGGGACTTTGCTGTGCAGTGGTCAAGCGCCCACTCCAGAGCTGTGCAGTCAGCATGGTGCTGTGCACCTACACACTGCCTGTCCCATGGCTTTTAAACCACAATGAACGGAACAACTGTGGAGTCTACGAGGCCTTACCTTCAGCTGTCTGCTCTCCCACCGAACACAGTATGAATGTAAAAGTCCAGCTCGGGCTCCTTCTCTGGACTTTGGTTTCATCTTCTGTAAGTGCAGTGGTCACCCAGGCCTCAAGAGCATTGGAGGAGCAAACGAGGTATTGCCTTGGAAATCACACCTACACCACTGTCACTACCACCACAGAGGCGAGTCCATTTGTTGGTGCATGAGCTCATTCTGGGAAAGCCAAGTATTAAACTAGATTGAAGAATCAAGGTTCAGAAGACATTTTCCAACAGGATGAGATGCAATATTCACAAATCAAAGTATTGCATTCAGGGTCTAAACATCCAGCCACACAAAAATAAGCTTTCAGACTAACTGTAGCCCATTGGAACAGAGATATTTATTAATTTGACTAAAATGTAACTAGGAGCAAAATTATTTAAACACCTTTTTTATTTTGTTACAATCTTCATGTAGACATGCAAAGGGCACAGGAGGATGCAAAGGACGGTTGGAGCCTGTCTCTGGAACTCCTGAGCCACTGCGGACTCCCTTTTCTGTGTCCTTCAGAATCCTGTGCCCAAACAAGAAGATGTCACTCATCCCTTCTGAGCCTTAACGCGCGTGGGCAGGGACAGCTACTCCCCTGTACAGCCTACTTGGGAAGGGGTGGAGTTGGATTAAAGTTCACTATTATTCAGAAGTGGATGTGTTAACTCCAAACTTTGGTTTTAGACTTCAAAAGGAGTAGGTGAACAGGGTGGCACCGGAGTATCAGTGCCACCAGGAGGGCGGACAGACCTGGGATTTCTCCTGTGGGCACTGCCTCTCAGGACAGCTGCTCACACTGGTCCTGCCTGGGGGAATGGTCAGGGAGGCAGAGGACAGAGGTGGCTGCAGGACCACAGGAGCAGGATGTAAGGATATGCAACCTGAAGAAGGGACATGGCAGGTAAGTGACTGGTTGCAAAGGGGGCGGGCACAGCCATTGGGGTGACCTCTGTAACCAGGATTCTGTTACTTGAGCAGCACATTTGACTAAGCAAAAACTTTTGTGGAGGTGAGGAGAGGTAATAAATGCTAAATTGGAAGCTACCTCCGGGGCCAATATTATTTTTAAAATTAGAAGGTTGGACATTTTAATGGGCTTCTCTGAGTGTGCCCCTCCAATCATGTTCAATGTTTAAGAAACAGCTGGTGTCCTACGGACAGAAATCATTGCTCTGCTCCTAAAAGGCCCTCGTTCCTCATCCCAGAGCTACTGTCCGTATCTTTGAGCCTGGTAGTACTGCTTGGCACACAGACCGTGGAGGAGGGAGGGAGGCAGGAGGGAGCCAGGAGGGCGGGCAGAAGTGAGTGGACTTCCTCTGCAGGTTGCCTTCTCCCACCAGCCTTCCCTTCTATTTCACAGGCTCTCCCTGCCTTGACATTCCACTTCTTGTGTCCTCTACCCCACTGTCCCATCAACCCCTGTTCCTACTTCTTCTGCAGGCTAAAGGTGTGTTCCATGTGTTCTCATCCTAGGTCCTGCACCAAGTGGAAAATGACCACCGCAGACCAGAAAGTGAGCATCTCTGTGGCTGGTGCCATTCAATGTCCTCAGCTCCAAAGAGTATGTTCACGTGGACTTTCACTGTTTTCCAGGTTTTTGTGTTCTAACTGCCACCTAAGTAACAGTGGCAGAGTGCAAGTTCTTGTGCTCTACCTGCCACCTAAGTATAAGTGGCAGAGTGCAAGGCCTTGGGTTTGATCCACAGCACACCCCAAAATGAATAGAAATTTCTACAGAATTTTTGTGGCACTGGTTAAAACTATTAGTATAAACCTGAACAATTACGCAACAGCTCGATAAATATAAATAAATAAATAAATAAATAAATAAATAAAAGGGGTGTTGACTGCCGATCCCCATGCATGTCAAAATATTTAGTGTGCTGTTGCGTAATTGTTCAGGTTTATACCAATAGTTTTAACCAGTGCCAAAAAATTCTGTAGAAATTTCTATTCATTTTGGGTGTGCTGTGTTGATATCAATATATATCTACCCCACTGAGTACCCTCCAGAATTCTGAGGCTGTCATCCACACTGTCCTTGTTCCTTCTGTCCTGACACTGGGATCTTATGCTGCTACCCAGCTGGCCCTACTCCTGCTTCCCCATTCTCTGAGGGATGAACTTCCAGGCGTTTTGAAGTAGCTTCCCAGAGCCACACCTCCTACCAGCCAGCTGGAGTGATTCTGCTAGGTGCTGCAAAGTGACAATGGAAGGGATTCCCACCTGGGTGTGGATGGCAGGTCAGAATGCTTCCTGTCCTTCCCTCACTCCTACACAGGCCAACTAAACAGGTGAATGGATGAATACCAGACGTTTGGAAAGGCAACTAGGTAATTACTGGAAGGTGAGGCCCAGAGAGGAGGTGGGAAATTCTGGCTAAGGGAGGGGTGGGAATCTTGAGCACCCTCAAATCTCTCTGTCTGGGATGGAGATGCTCACCCAGTCTTCTCCATCCCCAGGGTCCATTCTGCAGGACTTAGGGTCATTTTCAGACCTTGCTTCTGGCTGGGCTCCATGGGTGGTTGATTAAAGGTAAGAAAGTCCTCCAGGACTAGACAATGCTTTTATGTTGGGTGTCCGAAGCTCTCAGCACACTTTGTAATTATGCTCCTACTGAATGCATTTAGGACAATCAAGTCCCTTTATAATTAGGCCCCACAATCATGGGCACTTAAGGCAGACTGTATGCTGCCGCGGTTTTCCACCAGCAGCTGGGCGGCAGCCCCCCTTCCTCGCCTTCCCTGCCTCTCACCTGGTTACAACAGCCTGTCACTTTTACTCTTCCTGGAAGGGGCAGAGCCTTCTCTCCTCTGTTGTGACGCGCTGTTTATTTTTGCCGGAGTTGACAGTTTCTGAGAGTTAATCTCTTTTCGTATTTCCTCACATTTCAATTAGAATTACTCTCCTGTTCATGGCAGGACTGAAAGAATGTTTGCTGGTGTCCTGGAATTCCCAGAGTCCTGGCTGCTGCGGTGCGGGGACACTGCCATCTGTCAGAGGGCCAGCGAGCCCGTCGGACGTACCCCTGCTTGCTCCCCTGACTTCCCGCCCGCACGCCCGCACCCCCGCACGCACCATCGGCCTCCTGGGTCGGACCTGGAGCTGGGGCCCAAGCAGTCACCAGCAGCTTTGCGGGCTGATCCGGGAGGAGCGGGGCGGGGTCCGGGCTGCGGGCGAGCCGGGCGAAGGGCGGGGTGCGCCTAGGAGGCACGGGGCTGGACCGGGGGTGGGCGGAGGGTGGGGCCGCCGCCCAGACCAGCCGGGTTGCGAGGCGGGCACAGGGGCGGGGCCGGGCGGGGCGGGGCGGGGACCTCGGGCGCCGGGGCCTCGGCCGGGTGGCAGCGCGTGGCCGGCCGCGGAGGGATGAGCGGGGCCGGGGCGGCGGGCGCGGCGCGGGGGCTGCGGGTGGACGGACTCCCTCCGCTGCCCAAGAGCCTAAGCGGGCTGCTGCGCTCGGCGGCGGGCGGCGCGGCGGGCGGCTGGCGGCACCTGGAGCGGCTGTACGCGCAGAAGTCGCGCATCCAGGATGAGCTGAGCCGCGGGGGCGCGGGCGGCCGCGGGGCGCGGGCGGCGGGGCCGCGCGCCAAGCCCCCCAACCTGGACGCCGCGCTGGCGCTGCTGCGCAGGGAGATGGTAAGGGTCTGCGGGGCGCAGGCGCCGTCGGCCCGGCCGTCGAGGCAGACGGCCCAGCCGCCCGGAAGTCCGCGCCCCTCTCGCGTGTCCCCTCTGCCCGCGGAAGACGCGCGCCGGCGGGGCGGCTCTCGGAGGGCAGCCTTCGACGCGGCGCCCGCCGGCTCCCGGGGTGCGGCGCGAGGCTCGCCCTGGCGGCGTGGTGGCCGAGGGTCGGGGGCTACGCGGTGGGGTACAGTTCCGGAAGGCCGGGGTGGAGCGGCCCGGGCCCTCCCCCGCGCGCGAACCTAATCCGATTAGCCGGGCAGCGGGGGCCGCAGACTGAGGCGCGGCACGGAGTCTGCAGACCCGAGGTGGCGGTAGTCCTGCCGTCCGGGCGAGAGCCCGGGGCTTCCTTGGGTCGTGTCCGGACCACAACAACCGGATTTAGTTTTTCTCAGACCTGGAAAGTATAGTAGGTGTTCGTGGGCCAGGGTGACCACGAAAGCAGAGTAGAGATTTGGGGCAGGGAGCCTCACCTAAACTCTCTGTCCCAGGCTTAGGCCAGAGGAACTGGAACAGAAAACTCCCTCCTTTCTAATCCTCTGCCGGCCCTCGGTGCCCCTCAGGTCTGTCCTTCCCTCAGTCCAGTGTCCCCTCTCCTGAGCCAGGTTTCCAAAGACTGAATTTGCCAAAAAGTTGTTAGAGGAATCTTTAAGTAAGCATCTGATGTTTTTTAACATTTCGCTCAGGAGAATTGAATTTATGCTTAGTTTCCAAGGATCATGTCTGTTCTGAAAAGGCTTAACTGAATTCAGAAAGCAACCTTAGCACATTGTAATCAACTAGATATTGTCCCACTCTGCAGCTGGCACTGAAGTGATTTCTGATTCTAAAAAGATTCCTTAGGCTTTTTACTGAACACTTTCATTTATTAACAGACATTAAGTGACACTGATGTTACTGCATTTTAATGAGACACAGGGGCACCTCTGTGTTTACAGCCTGAAAGTCACTTAGCAAAGCCCCTGGGTTAAAGGAAGACCCACCCTGGTGTTTAAGTTCCTTTCTTGAATGGGAGGCAGGAAAGGCTCAGGGCCACTCCTCTTTGAAGCTCTGGTTTGTAAACATGCTCCCAGGGGAGTCTTGCTGTGGTGGCTTGGGAGCCCACAGGCCATTCTGCAAAGTACTTTCCAGGTGTGACTGAAGTACAACTCAACCTCATGATTATGCCTTGGACCAGAGCTCCTCTCCTAATGAACATCTCTCTCTAGTCTGTCTGATATTTAGCTATGATTAGATTAGGTATTTCAAGAAATGTCAGAAGGTCGTTAAAAGTACTGTCTTGGGGCTTTTAAAGAGGTTTACTGACCTGGGCCAGTGGGGTCCCATGCTGAGGCTCCCACTGGGGAGTTCTTGCCAAACAAGAAAGGGAGTTCACTCCTGAATCATCTGCAGAATGTCTGTGTTGATCCACTTAATTTGAAGGCCTGAGGTCAAAGCTGTGACAAAGGACATATCTGGATGTCTTGGGAGAATGTGACCAAATGCTTGAGGGAAAAGCCCCTTGCAAGCACAGAAAGGAGGCGGAGGTTGGGGAATGGAGAGGGCTTCTTTTCAGGAGGATTGCAGCCCTGGAGGTGTGGGGGGCCTGGCCACAGGGGAGAGGAGCCTGAGGAAGGTGGCAGGAAGCTTGTACCTGTGAGTCTGCAGTTGGAGGAGAGAATGCTCAGAAGCAGGAGGGCACCCTTCTGGCTGCACTTGGAGGGTACAGGAGGCTGAGCTAAACGTGGGAGGCTCTTGGGGAGATAGCTCAGATGTGCCCAGGAGGGTTGGCTTCTACCAGAAAACAATTCTCTGGGAACCACTGTTTGGAAGCAGAAGCTGCAGGAATTGGAGATAAAGTGTTAGGGTCCGGAAAGGTGATAAAAAGGAATCAAAGATGACAAACATTTTAATGGAAAGTGTAGTTAAGCAAAACAATGAAAAATTACAAAGCACTGACTGATGATTGTTGCTAATATTTTGGGATATCTCCTGTATAGGTAAAATATTAGTGCTTTCTGTGCATTATTTTCCTTCTCAATCCATATAATTTTCCATAGAATTGGTAGTTAAAGTCTATTTTATATTAAAAAGAAGAAATGAGGTGCTAACCATACTTCCCATAAGCTCACAGGTCCCTTTAGGTCTGCAGGGCTCCAAGGCCCTGTGTAATTGTAGCACTGTACTGTCCACATATTAGGATCACCTTGTGCGCGCCAGCGTGCTTTGGGAGGCACCTATTGCAAACATTCACCAGGGTACATTTGCCTTTGTATGGCAGCAGTAGGAGCCACTTGAACCTTGGAAGGCACGGCTCCCAGGGGTAGTTTGGAGGAGTGGCTGCTCTGGGGAAAGGTGGCAGGCCATTGTGCCAGTGTGTTAGGCGTTTGAGAGTTTCCAAGTGTGGAGCTGGAGGTGCAAGGGGCTGGGTATTGCTGAAGAACTGGTGGTGGCTGAGTGAGCAAATGAAATCTCAGAGGAGAGACAGGGATGCCGTGGGTGGAGCCTGGGGAGCTGGTTCCTGGGCTGAGAAGGTAGGGCTCGCGTGGCAAAGGGCTCCGACCCACGCTGGGTGACACCTTGAGCGGCTCAGAGTGGTGGTTTCTGCTGCAAGTTCCACCACTCCCTGTTGCAGCTATCTCACATCTGTGACTTCTCTATCACCGATTCCCCTGAGCCTTCCAGAAGGACCCATTTGGAAAGCTTTAAGTGTCAAATGGTTGCTGCCCTGTAACAGCAATAATGAAAAGACACTCTGGAAAATGTTTGCTGTTATTTTTACACTAGAGAATATTTTAGGTCACTTTCAACATGTCACTGGGTGAATGTCTATAAGGTGCTCTGGAGGATTTGAGGACATTTAGAGTCTCTGACACCTGGTGGTGTGCCATCTTTATGGCAATGTGGTGAAGACTCTAATAATAATAGAACTGCAAACTGCACTAGCTTTTGAAAAAGGAGAGTCTTATGAAATGGCTGGATGTGTTCAGAGACAGACTGGACCCGCTGTCCACTGAGGTGTTTTTTTCACCTCTCCCTGCCACTGTAGTTCTTCCTCTGGAACCTGACCCTTGACAATGTCCATGGTCAGTTTTGGCCACAGTTTAGGACAGGACCATGTGGACAAGACAGGATACTGCACAGGACCAATTTGTACAAGCTGCAGAATGACATGAGGTGGCCTGGACAGCCTGGGCCAGCTGCGAGGGATGAGGACAGGAGGGGATGTTCTTAATGTGAAGCCATGTGGACAGGACAATGTGGACAGGACGGGGTACTGGGCTATGTGGACAGGACTGGGTAGACAGGACCATATGACAAGTCTGAGGACTGGGCGTTCCCCAAAGATAGGCCCTCAGATAAGGTCATAGGAATATAATCTGAAGATTTGAGGCTCCAAAGGATTGAAAAGCTTCTCTGTGCCCCTGTACACTCGTGTCTGCTCCCTCCCCACCTGTAGGGCCCTGGACAGGCCACGCCTGGACTCACAGCCTTCCCCCTTTCTGCCGCATGTCAGGGTCACAGTGCCCCCAACAGCCACAGCCCAGCCTGCATTGGTTGTGGCGGGTGTTGCTGTAGCTCTCTGGGGTCAGGTGGGCAAGGATATTTAGGGCAGGCTGGAGCAGGGAACCCTGGCCTTTCTGGGTCACGCCCACCATGCAGCAGCAGGACCAACATGAACTTCACAGACACTGACTCCCTCTGAGAAGCCATTTTCACAATCCCATGGGGGAAACTGCACATGTACAATGCAGACCTCGGGAGCAGGCAGCCAGCCCTGAGGCCGGCGGCAGAGATCTGCCCCTTTCCAGTGCGACCCTTTAGCAAGAGCCCCACCTCCATCTGCACGTTCCCGTGAAGATTGTGGGTTCCTTCCGTGCTCCATCCTGCAGATGCTCAACACTGGGATTGTCCCTGAGGTGATGCTCTGCCTCAGATGCTGGAGGCAGGAAGTCCCCAAGCCTGCCTTACTGGCTATAGCATTCACTAAGATACGTGGCCTCTTCCATTTTGGGGAGTACTGTGTTCCCTTCCTTGATTGGCCCTAAGAGCCACAGATGGCCTGTCTTGCAGGTGTGGGCATTCTGAATCTCCATTGTGTGTGTGTATTGCAGGGAAGGGCCTGGGGAGCAGGGAGGGTGCTTGTCCTCTGACCAGAGCTTCCCAGTTGAGGAGGGTGAGCTCTGGGACTGCAGAATGCCTGGCCGGTCCCTGCCAGTAGCCCATATGCCAAGGGAGAAGGTGATGGGGGAGGGGGAAGATGGGGACAGGATGACTGGAGATTAGGAAGTACAGAGAGGGGTGTCTGGCATGTTCCTGAGTGGTTGACTAGATTGGTGAGACGGATGAACAAAAGTCCTCAATTTTTATTTCCGATAAGGTCAACACTGACAAGTATAACCTATATAACTACAGGAGGGTCTTTGGGACCCTCAGTTGTAGTTAGAATTGGAGGTAAAATACCCAAGTTAAACTGCAGGGGGTTTAAATCCTTTACTATCTGTACATCTGCAGTTTGTTACTATAGCACATCATGTACCTGAAGAAGGGACTTACGAGAATGATCACAGTGACCTGAGGGTTGAGAGATGGGCCTCACGTCCTATTGTGAAGGGCAGTTTTGTAAGACTTAGGAAACTGAGTGTATGCCCTTTAATTTCATTTCCTTTTAAAAGCCCTAAAGTGGCTTCTACTGAATAGTAAGTCAGAGTTGCAAGGGGGCTTTAAATATCGGTAACTGGGGCCTGCAGCATGATTATCTTGTCTTCCTGCTGCCTGTGGACTCCTCTACCAGCAGGGACATAAGGTTGCCCTGGGATTAAAGAGTGGTCTGGGTCCAGTGGCCTGATCAGTGGGCCTCATTCTTGCCATCATCACACATATTTTAAAGCTTCTACAGATTTGAGGCCGAGTCTGGGAGGGATCAGGAGGATGACGACATCCTTCTCCCTCCCTGCCTCCTCACAGATATCTCATTT